AGGGCCTCGCTCGGGCTGCGTGCCGAAGCTGCGACGAACGATAACCGTATCGCGACCGGGACCTCTAAAGCACCGATATCCAAGGTAAAAACTCCTGATCGGTGAGGCTTCCTGGCGTGTCCGCACTGCAAACCGAAGAGCGCTGCCCTGCGGGTATGCCTAGCTGTAAACAAGCTACCCTGAGAAAGCGGCGCTGCCAGGAGCCGTGTGTGGGCTGCCTCACCCTGCTTCCCAGCAGCTCGCGGCAGGAGGCCTGGAGAGCAGCTGCAAGCCCTCCAGAAGGGCAGGAGCTGTTCCATGCCCTTCTGCTAGATGCAGAGTTTAACAAGGTGGATTCGTCTTCCTGTCAGAAAACTTGTGATACAACCAGAAGAGATGGCCGTGTGTGTCAGCATCTGCGAAGCAGGATCTCAAGCCAGGCTGTGCTGTGGTTGTTAGTGCTGTTTTTGCTGGAGTGCCGTTCTGCTTTAGAAATACTGCTGATGCTTCGTTATGGTTCAGTTCCATTTTTCCTATTTACTCAGCTTCACTTCAGAGATCTCCCCTCCTCCTACGAGGCAATTCTATCCCTAGTTATTCAGAACATTTTTCCTGTGATATTTTTTCTTCCGCTAAAAAATATTTTCCTCTCTTTACCCCATTAACACTGGTGGCATGGTGCAGTATTTGGTTTTTTTCTGCCTAGCTCTTCTTCCTCCTGTCAGCAGGTCCCCATGGACGGAAAGGAACTCGCAGCAAGTTATGTCCTCCTATAACTTGCTTGGAAGCCTCCCAGAATGCTTTATTATGTCTGAAGTGAAAAATACTGCCAGAGTAGCAGACACATTGAAAGAAGAATGAGGATATAACTATTGCAAAAATGGCACAGAGTAAAAAATAATTTAAAACAATTCTTAATCAACTAAAAAAATCTATTTATTGACAAAAGAGTGTTAATTTTACTCTCTAAGGAAAACACATTTCCCTGGTATTGCTTTGATTCCACAGTTTCCACTAATACATTGTACAGATGGAATTTCTATTATTCCTCTCAACAGTGCTATTCACTTGCACCTCTCGTGGGTCACTCTCTCCTACTGTGTCCCTCCGTGCTTGAGAAGCGACAGTGGGAGCCCTCTCCCCTCAGTTCTACCACAGCTTCCACTATTGTAGTATCTGAGAAAACTGTTACTGCTTGCCAGTGGGAAATCTGTATCTCCCATCATGTCTTTATGTTATGCAACCTGTAGCAGCAGTGAGTATCTGCTTGCCTTTTGGCTAGATTCTTCAAGATCCCTGCCGTACTTGCAGAGAAACTTATTGGCTTGGCTGCCTTATCTAGAGGGAATTCCCAAAAGTGAGAAATTCAGGATGACCCAAAGCCTTTTCACTAATGGTAGCAAACAGTTGTTTACGAATGACTGGAGCCCACACCTCCCGTTATCTTTTAACAGGAGAAAGTGTGCTTGTTGTTACCATCAGGCTTAGTGTTTTCCCCACGGGAATCAGTGGGAAGAGTTTTTGTTGAAAATGGATGCTCGACTCCTGGAATGTACTCTGCCTTGCCTAACGGTTTTACCATCACATGAGGCACATCTGGGGAAAGACTTTGAGACCTGTGAGTGTATCTGCCTGCCTCCACTCCAACTTGAATGAATGCTGTGAGACTAATCCAGAAGTTCTTAGTGAAATTCTGTGGTTTCTGTTATAGCATGCTGTGTTACAGTTTTTGTGATCGTGATTGTTTTTAATCTCAAAATTTATGAAGCATCTTTCAAAGCATATTATTGTTCCTAAATCTAAATCTGTAAAAGTTGCACCAGCAGTACATTACAGTATTATTTTTAGGTAATAAATTCACTCACAAAATGAATAGCTTCTGCCCATGTCTCAGCAGTGTTTAAACACCTCAAAATAGGTGGAACTTTGTAGCTTTTTCAGCTTTAAAGATATGTAATACTTATCCAGAAAAATGATTTGCTAACACAGTTAGAATTTCAATGGGAAAAAATTCACAATTGGTAGCATAAACTACCACGCCCTACTAACAGCCAACCGCGAGCTGTTGGTTTAAAAATGTTGGGGGGGGGGGGGGTCTTACTATGACAAGATTTGCTAGTATGTGTTGGTATTGTCAACAATATCTGTGGAAGGTCAGATGGCTCCATAGTGCTTTTATAGGGAAGATAAAGTGCTCTTTGAAGAAAACTCGGAATCGTTTTCATATAAAACCAAAAGAAAACTTTAGAAATTGGTATAATGATGTCTCTGCTGGATCAAGTGCCTTGTAGAGTCATCATAAGGGTTCCGGTTACTTTCAGGGGACGCTGAACCAGGCTGTTGTATATACTTTGGAGCTGTGGCCATCTCTCTCAGCTTGTACAATATCAAGCGTAATGTGACACAACAGTGATAAGTACTACTGGACTCTACTATGGTATAAATATGGGGAAGAACAATAAAGGACTCCCTGACAATTTCAGGTATCTTTCTAGGGGGCCTACTTATTTTTGTTTTGTTTCTTGCTCTTTCTACTTCTCTCTCCTCCTGTCCTTTCCTCACCTTTCTTGCCCATATTTGCCTTGGCCTCGTGTTAAGGCCTCTCCCGGGCTTCCTCTGCCTTTTGTGTCTGAAACTAGTGCAGGACTGTCGTTTCTACTCGTGACACCCCTTCCAGTGATATTTTTCCACTGATTCCTCACAGTTTACCTTTGCCAGTTGCCAATCTTAGGTGCCCTTTGCACCTCCTCCCTTCCTAGTATGGTTCGCAGGTGCACCTTCCCCACTTCCCGTGGTAGCCAGGCTGCTTTCTCACTGTCACAGCCTCTCCCAGTTGTTGCCTTCCCAGTGTGCCTGTCCTAGCCTGCTCTGCACCACCTACTGCCGTTCTCACTCGACCGCCTCCTTAGTCATTTCTAGATCCTCCCTGACCCTGACCGACACCTACAGCCACTCCATCCCAAAATGTACACAGCTCTCAGCCACACCTTCCCAATTGCCTTTTTTGTCTGCTTCTTTTAACAGCTCGTTTCACCTGTAATTTCCAGAGCAACCCTCTCCAACTGCTGTTCTCCTCAGTGTCTGCTCTTCCGGGCCCTTGGTAAACCTCCTGCTTACTCTCGATCTCCCAGTCTCCATCTCTCCTCTCCCCTGCGCGGTTTAATCCCACCACATTAGTGCTTGTCTTCCGCTGCCAGCTCTGGATTTCAGGGTTTGGCGCTCACCTGCCGCAGAGAAAGCGCACGGACGGTTGAGACGAGATTTGTAGATCAAAATCCTCCTACTGTCCTCCCTCCCCGCATCGGGATCTTTAGGCCAGATCTTCAGCCTGGGGGGCAGGATGCAGACTGTGGTGCTTAGCAGGGAATTTGGGTTCTGTAAAAGACTGCCTTGGTGGCCTGGGGGGAATAGGGATGCACCTGGCCTTTAGAGACTTTTGGGGAAAAGAGAGCTGACCTTGTGCGAGAGCGTGGAGCTGGACATCACTGCTCCTGTCCTCCACAGACAGGCTCGACTCTCGTGTCGGGGACATGTCCTGTAGCAGCAGCTCTAGCAGCTGGAGTTGGGACTGGAGAAGGGCAGTCCTCCAAAGCGGGGAGATTTAACTGCTCCTTGACTCCTGCACCTAACAGCGGCTTCATCGCACGCACACGCACACACACACAGAGGGTCCCTTCTGAGTGCACACCCCGAACATCCTTGGGGGATTAAACTGTGTGGGCTTTCGAGGGGCCCCGCGTGTGTGTTGAACTGCTCTTTCCTTCCCCCTCCTCTTCCCGTGCGCAAGTGTCGTCTGCCTGTGAACTGCAGGGCAAAACTGTGAAAACCACCTCTCCCAAAAATAATCTCTGCTTCAGAGGCTGGAAAATGTGACAGCACATTTTCATATGCAGAGCAATGCAGTGGGTGTCTGAAAACAGCTGAGGCTGAGGGGGTGGCAAGGGAAGCGGCTCTGAAATGGCAGGAAAGTGGCAACCAGGGAATATGAGAGGAAGGAAGGAAGGGAGCAAACTGCGAAAGGGGAGGGGGCCGGAGGGAGGGCTGAGGGCAGCAGAAAGCGAGTTCAGAGCAGGAGAAGGTTGCACAGTGGGGGTCGGTTCTCTTTTCCCTGGCGCGTTTACTTCTGCTCTCATTCATTTATTAATAATTGGAAAAGTGTCTCTTCTACTAGAGACAGCAGTTTCCGAGCTTTGTATATCAGATGATAGCTGGGGGAGGTGGAGCACATCATCCACAACAAGGCAGCTTATCTCCTCTTTTGTCTCCTGTAAATTCCCTTCCCTCCCTCTTCACATCCCCTTTTTCTCTCACATCCCAGCCCTGGGAAAAAGCTGCTTTGGCCTGGTTGTGGAATTGCTTATTAGAGTACCAGGTGAAAAAAAAAAAAAAAAAACAGAACATATTTGTAATTAACGTTAAGACTTCAGAATTTTAGTTTATTTCACCAGACCCAGGAAGTCCTGTTTTGGCTGGTAGCATTGTGTTTCTCCTCTGTCCTACATGATACTAAACCTAGTTACTGCGTACGTGCATTTTGCAAAGTATTGCTCATGTCCTCTTTCCTCCAGAGCATTTGTGGCTGTTCCTGAGTCATGGCAATTCTAGTTCTGCCTTGCCTGCTCGGTGCTGTTCAGTGGAAGGCTTCAGAAGTTGTTACTGGCACTGATGTTTGCGTTACTGCCATAGGAGACGGCATGGCAGGAGGAAGAAAACTGAAATGCCCCTAATGAAGCCTAAGACAGATAAGAGAAACTTAGTTCTTGGCAAGTGAGCAGTTTTCAGTAAAACTGATTTTCTTTAGCGGTCACTGGAAGCATCTGAACTGTACGTTCAGATTTGGTTTTATTTTTCATCCAGTTTCCCAGAGAAGCTGGGGACATGATTTTATGCCACCTAGGGGAAAACTAACCTTTTTTTTTTTTTTCTGAAGAAGTTTAGGAGTTTTGACTTTTAAACACTTACGGGTTATTTATTTATATATGCCTATTACACTCTCTCTTAAATTTAAATTTCCCAGGAAATCACGTATCCAGCCTGCAGGTCATATTCTTTGATGTGCAAAACTAAATTGTCATGGGATTGGGAAGATAAATTAGAGCAAAAAATGGCAACGTGGCTGGTAAATCACTGGCCAACTGTGTGACTTCAGTCCTGTCCAGCAGTCCTTACGTAAAACTCATATTTCCTGAATTTCACTCTGCTCTTAGGAAATACAGCTCTGTTATCTGTGCTTTATTATGGCTTTGCCATGCAGAATTAAGTAGGAATTGTAAGTTGCTCGTTTATCCTAAAATCTTAGCTTCTGTATGCTAATAGGTAGGAAGCCATATTCCTTTTTTTTTTTTTTTTTTTGGATGGGACACCAATGGATATTTTTAACATCTGGTGTTAAAGACATACTTGTCTCAGAGAAACTGTGAAATGGATGGTTATTTTAGCCAGAGTAGAAAGAGCCTAGCTAAGGTAATAATTGTTTCAGCACCCCCTAAAGACCGTGAGAAGTCTTATATTCATGTGTTGTAGAGCAGGATCAGGTTGTACATCAACCAGAACTTCTCCCAAGTCCCGTGGCTGTCACAAGAATTGTGTTTCTTTGCAGGATGCTGGACAGGACGACGGTGTCAGCTACAGCCCTGCTTCCCATCTGTCTTTGTGGAAGGGCAGCCAGAACTGTGATGTCTGCCCATGTCAAACCAGCCAAGTTGTGTACTGTCTGTATGGCTTGATCCAAGAAATCCTGGGAATTCTCTATGGTGGAAATCAGAGGTTAATGTTGGGATGATTTGTTGATTCTTTCCATGTGGGTCATGCTTCATATTTTTCTGTGTTTACAAAGAACTGAAATGTGGTCTAACTCCATCAGGACACTGGATAAACTGACCAGTTTCAACAAGGTAGATAAAAATATCCAGGCACGGTGTGATCATGTGTTTACTTCTGTTTAGTAACTAACTTGTGTGTTCTTCCTTCACTTGTGCAATGCTTGTGGTTTTGTTGATAGAGCAAATAAAGGGCAATGTTGTTGGGTCCTGTGTGTGATGTGAAGGCATCCCATTTAAGAATATGGATGCCTGTGGAAGAATATAGCAAAATGGCATTGCTTTTTTGCAGATAGAGTTTGAAAGATCTCTTTCAAACAGCAATTTGAATTACTGTTAACAAAATCAGAGCTGGTGGCTTAGCAGCTGAATTGTCAGCCAGTCAGATGAGAATAAGACAGCCTCTAAGCATTGCAGAATGAGCTTACATAAATAACAAAGCCACCTGCCCATGCTATGATGAGATACATGGTTTTCCAGATGGAAATGTTAGGAGCACCCTTGGTATGTTTTTCATATCAGCACAAAATGTAGTCGTTACATAACGATCTCACAGCTGCTGCATTTCAGGAGTTCCTCTGATGGGATAAATTCTGGAGGTATGAAAGATGGTGGTATGGCCAGGGCCTCTCATTTGACATATTCATGGAATATGGAAGCCAGCAGGGACAGTTCCACCTTTCCTCCTTCTAACACAGGTAACAGAGCACTTCGGCACTTCCAAATAGAAGTATTTTGATAGAAGTCTTATGAACAAAGGTCCTGCTCTTCTTTTCTTTAAGCCTACTTACTCTTAATGATTTTTGTACTATTGACTAGTCTCAACCACATGTGGCAGATGAGATAGAGATACTAAGGACTCCTGCAGTATTAGATAGTTCTACTGACAGTTTTGCTCTCTGATGCTAATGCTTGATCCGACCCTCGTTGCATAGGTGTTGGTTTACATTTGAGCAAGCAAATCATTTATGGATAGGAAAAGGCAAATGAAGATGCAGGTAACATGTTCTACGTACAATACAGACAAAACTGCACCCACTCTGGCTCTCTGTACACCAGTACACTCCTCCAGTATGTCCCAGCAGGCCTTGAGCTCTCCCATATCCTGCTGCTGTCTCTTGCCAAATGCCTGTGCTCACATACCACACCCTTGGCATCATGGTACAAGACACGCTACTGGCATGCTGTTACGCAATCACCTCACTATCCGTAATTGAGATTTATTTTCTTAGGATGGCACAGGAACTAAGGAAAGAGGGGACACTCTAGTGACCCATGGCGATCAAGGCCTTGAATTTCATATACAGAGACGTCATAAGAGTCACAGCTTTGCTGCTCAGATATTCTCTTGGCAGCAATACAAGGATTGAGCAATACTACTTCAAATTTTTAAAAAGGACCTCTGTGAAAGCCTGCTTTGGTGCTGCTCTGCATAAGTATTTGTGCTGTTTCAGTTTTGTGTGAGATCCTCGGCCACAGAGTAGATCCCTGCTTACCCTCTAGACGCACAGTGTGCAGATTGTGTTTCATCAGAGACCTATGGGAGGGGACCCCCGGCAGAAGGATTGCTTTCATGACCAGAAGAACTCGCCCAAAGACTTTTCATCAAGTGTGCCAAACCCCTGGACTTTGCAAATGCAACTCAACCCCAGTTGCTTTCTTGCGGTTAACAACACAGGAGTAGGCTCATGGGATGTGGGGAAGCAGTTATGTTCTATGTGGGAAAATGCAGGGGGGAGGTGTTTGTATCTTTGGGTATATACCAGGCCTCCTGGTTGTGTAGTGCCACAGGCAGAGGCAGGCTGGAGGACCCAGCCTTGATACATCCACTCCTTGTGCAGTGATTTAGGTGGAGATTGCAGAGGTTATGCAATGTGCAACCTATCCCAACAACCTGCATGGCAGCAGTGTGCTGGCATCTTGTCTCTCCTTCAATTCTCTGTGCAGCTTGCCCCTGGGGATATGCCTCTTGGTCCTGCAGCTCACCAATAGCATCTGCACTGTGGGCTGAGCCTGTGAAGCTGGTTATGGTATCTATAAATCTGCAGTGATTACCAGCCTCCAAAGGGCAATGGTCGTTCTCTTTTCTGTAGTATCCAGTAAGTGGTATGCCTGGTAAGGGGTGGGGGCCATTTCCTGGCAAACAACCCTGCAGTAGCCTCAGCAGTCGGAACCCACCTGTTGCTGTTGTCTCCTGGGTCCAAAATTTCTCCATGAGGGGAAAAAGAGCTGAGCTACAGTCAGGGATGAGCTCACTACCTGGAAGGGCGTAGATCTCTATGCAGGCGTTTATGCAAAACAGCCACTGAGGGCTGCGGGGTGTAGCCTACGCTAGTGAGCACGCCGGCATAGGAGGCCGAGGTGGACCAAGGAGGCCCTGGGCAGCGAGGAGTGCTCTGGCACGGCTGTCACGCGGCAGCATGCTCCCACTCATCTCGTCCCTGGATGCCGATCGCCTGCTGCAAAGGACCCTTGCAGTGAGCAGTTGGGAAGCAAGCTAGTTTGCACTGTGTGACCCTGGGACCAAGGTTGCTCTCTGGTTCAAATAGCAAAGCGAATATAAATGTACTCAGAGTCACTATGGGTGGGGTTCATGCAAGATTAGGTGCCTGTGACACAAGTGTCTGTCTTTATAGCTCTTTTTATAGTTAGTAGAGTATTAATAAAACCCACGGAGCTTGAGCATGTTCCTTCCTTCCTTAGTGTGAGACGAATTGCGCTCTGACCTCTGTTGGCTTCTTCGCCGGTGCCAATACTGGGAGTCTGGACAGCCACGACAAATGAAGGAAGGTGAGGTGAATCCCACCGTGAGCTCCTGGGTTTGCTGGCCACTCAGCACTCGGGCAGCTGGTGACCAGCAAATACACACATGCCTCTACCCCAGCCATAGCACCCACCACCAAGAGACTTGGGTAAAAGCTATGAGGAGCGGGGGAATACTGTGGTGGGGCACTGGGGGCCAGAATTTAGGCGATGTTGAGGAAACCTGCGGATCTTGCAGGGGCACCAAGGAAAAGGGATGATGTGGTTATTGAGATGGGGCATGTAGAGAAGAGGCTCAAAATCTGTAGGAACCCACCTCTCTTAGGCCTGCTGTTCAGGGAAGCAGCTTGTTTGCCTCTATCCTGTGTCAGACGTTTTGATTTGCACCTATTTGCTCCACGATGTAGTTTGTTAGACATGGCTACAATGAGAGGTATTGTAGGCAGAGAGGCTCTGTCCTGTTGGCTTTATGGAAATGTGCCTGTCCACCTGGAGCCACTTTGTAGGCCCCTGGGTCGGCCTCTTTAGGTTAGCTGCAAACTCTGTAGTTCTCAGAGCTGGTTTAGAAGGGCAGCTTGGAACATTTTCAGGCGGAGGCTTGTCTGCAACTAAAGCTATTCTCTCAGGAGACAGCTGACATTCGTTTTTCACTATTTCCAGAAATATTAAGCTTTATGAAATTGGGGTTTTTTTCTTTCTGTTTTAACATTTTTCTAGTGGTTTTCCAGATGATGAGTTAATCTGGAGTGATTTTGCAAATAAGCTCTGTTTTTGCACAGAGATGAGTAAATGAAGAAGACTGACTGACACGTTCATTTGCAGCAGTCCATTGAGCCTTTTCATGGGTACTGTCGAAAGAGAACCGTCTGTTTGCAGTCGTGGCAGGACAAAACGAGTCTTGCAAAATACCATTTCATCTCACTGGAAATGCTGGTATTTGGTGGAAAGAAAGAGGGCGTGACTCTGCAATGTTGCTTCCAGTGCAGTGAGTGATTCTGAGCAAAAGACTGAACAGAACACAAAGCATAGGTCTCTATCAGATGAAAGCTTGTGTCCAGTTCTTGTTTCCAGGAACCACCCATTTTCATTTATTTGGTGGTGCCAGGCATAGTAGAAGGAACATCGATGTTGTAATGTTTGTGTGTGTACGTGTGTTTGTTTTGCACCTGGCACGGTTTTAGCCATCGGTCAATAAACAGCTACATCCCACGCTAGCTGGTGAGGACCATGTGCTTACCAGGAACTGCCTTCATGTCCGTTCCAAGCAAGGCCATGTCCAGCGCGGAGGTGAGTGTAGGTGGAGCAGGCAGTATCGCACGTGGCTCAGAGGGCTCTTGCGACTCACTCACCTTACCTAACAAAGCCTTTTGTGGGCTCATTTTCCACATTTTTGTTCTGCTGGTGTATGAAGCCTTTCACTGCAAGTATCTGGATGTGCAGGCATTAAATCCCATCCTCATGGAGCTCATTGTCAATCAGTGGGTGCTGGCAGAGACCATTGCCAAAACATGAATACAGACAAAAGGAGGACAGGCTGAGGCTCTCTGGTTTCCTTTGTCCTGAGGATGTTAACCTCAAATTCAGGTCAGCCTCACGGGACCAAAAGATTCTCTGTACGGTTATAAGCTGTAAACGTACAGTTTTCTGGAGCAGGCCACATCCATAACAATTCTTCAGAAAGCTTTGTCTGCTTTCTTGTCAGACAGGCCGTTTCTGGAGGCAAAGCCTTGGGAACACCTAAAGCTGGTATGATTCCCCCACTCTCTCCTGCCCTGGGATTTTTCTGCCCCGTGTGAGCTGCATAGTATCCCATTTCATCAATTCGATGTTGCAGTTTAGATCTGTTCCCTCCTATGCAGTGAATTAAAGACTCAGATTTCATATAAGAGCAGTTCTTGGCATTTTGAATGCTTGCAGTTACAGTGAAATCAAAGATGTAGTATCGTCCTGGTTAACCTACCTGTGGAAGGCAAAGCTGAGAAACTAAAGTATGTGTATCTGTAAAATAAGATCATCTCTGAAATGTGTCTTTTAACCTGAAGAAACACAAGGGAGTGACCCATGCTGAAAGGAACTTTATTAAGCCGTATTAGGATGACACAGATGACACAGTGAAGCTGCAGTTATTAGGAACAGACCTACGTGCAGCCCTATATGCACAGAGCCTTCTCCCCTATTTGCGATGACTATTAATAGCACTGATTCTGGCCCGCACAAACTCAAATAGTGTGTGGGTTTGGTTAGTGCACTGCTGTTTGGCAACTGGGGTAAATGCCCTTAAAATAATCCTACTGGCACTGTGTGTTAGAGTGCTTGAAGCTTTTGAAACCTTTTGGTCAAATTTACTCTTGTTAAACAAACAATCAGTATTGATTAGATCATATGACAGACTTAGCTGAGCAGTCTTTCAAATACTGCAGCTAATTGGAGTTCATTTTTACATG